TCTATATATATAGTCATAGATCTATTCTAGTATGTAATGTGCCTATATTCTTCACACGAAAATAACAAATCAGCGTGGTGTTAACTAGTGAGAAAGAGATGAAGTGAAGCGGAAGTGAAAATAAACTTTCTTTCTAAAAGTACAGAGGTTCGGTTCCTTTTTTTCGGTTTCTGTTCCCCGTTTGTTTTGCTGGGGTCTTTTTTTTTCATTTTTATTTTTACCGGCAGTGGATTTTTATTTTTACTTTTTTTTTTTTTTTTTTTTTTTTTGGGGGGGGGTGTTTTTTTTTTGTTTTTTTTAAAAATAAATGCAAAAATCGCGGCCGCGACAAATGCAGATGCTAGACTACAGACTACAGAAGTGAGAAGACTCGGACTCTTTTTCTAGGAATTCACTTATTTTCGCTTCGTTTTTACAGCGTCAAAAACATTTTCAACCCGTACTCCTAGTCAAGGTCTCTTTAAAAGCCAAATAAGGTAACGTAACCAACCCTTTCTTCCCGAGAAATAAGCTCCTGGTCTAAGAAATGTTAGTGAAACAATAAGCCACCTGTCTGTCATACACTTCTATAATAATAATATCCCTTCCACATTATTGCCACTTCGTTACCCTAAAATTACTAAGTTTTATCTGTTCAATACCAAGTTTTAAGAAATTTGACGTATGACATTTTGAGTTTCACAGCATATCAAACATTTTCAAATGCAGTTCTTTGAATATCTTGATAACGACTCCGATTAACCTTACGATTTTGATAGAGCAGATAGAACATTAAAATTTATTGGTTTCTGACCTCATGGTCTTAGTAACTCAAAACGGCTAAAAATGTCAGATAGAACTTTGTAATTCTAAAGTAGTGACTTGGTTGAAAACATTTCACTCACACCTTTTCCCCCAAATCGTTAATACACTGTACCTTGAAAATAGTTTAGCGTCCATTATTGTTTCTGGAAGTTTGCGATGGAGGGTTTCCGGGAGAACGATTGACAGAACTGCAGCATTGAGTATGAGGCAGCCGCACACGAGGAGGGGAATCCCCTTTCCTAGAGAACCTCCAGTTCGGGCACCCTTGGGAGAAATGTTTAGCTTGAATTGAAGAGTATTTGAGCAACCACCCAGAAACACACAGAGTGGTGGGGAAAAGGATTAATTGTAGCTTTCCTATTTTACATTAAGTCAAGTCGTTCTTAGCTTAAAAATCAATTACCGGGGACATGTAAATAAAATTCTTGTACAGTATATGGGGAAACAATTATTGTACTCGTCTTCAAAATGTGTTATTGTCTGTAAAGAAGGGTAAAAAAAAAGTCAACTGAAAGGAGGTATCCCCACAAAAGACATTGAAAGACCAGGTGGAAAAGAAGAAAAAGACCTTTTCTAGATTTATTGAGGAAAGGAAACATAAGTTGCAGCACAATTCATCACATAAAACCCCCAAATCTACCTCGTTCGTATACCTGGATATAATATTCTGCCTCCATTTGCAAACCTTACCTTTAATTAGCTCATTGGTCTGCAACAAAACTTTCCAGTCGAAAATTATTTTCCTGTTTTTCATTGGTATAAATCTACTGCTCTTTTTAATACAAGCCACATTCTATTTGTTAAATGTATATTATTTATGCTTTCTTAGTTAGTAGTGCACAACAGCTACTCTGTGCCCAGTAGCAATCTTGCACAAGATAAACCAGATTCAGTTTCGTTATTTCAATAATTTAGACCCTATCAACAACATTGTTTCTTGAAATTACAGTTGGGCATGCGTTATTGGCCACCTGTCAAAGACAATTACCTGTGTAAACGATCACACCTACCCCCTTGCGTTTTTGAATATCATAATGGCACTGCCCAAGATTTCCACCAGTCTAAAACAACAACTTTTCTCCTCGACAAAGGGTGGCCGTCTTGGACAAATCTGATTGTAGCTGTCCTGTTTTACATCAAACTGTTGTTCGCTTAAAAATAAAAGACCCAGAAATCCTAAAATGTTCATGTGTACGGGAAACAATAGTGAGGAGCGTGGTGAATTCAGGCGCTCGTCAAAGAATGAAAGTTAAGAAACTTACACTTTTCCGATGGTTTTGGCAATTTTTATCCAAAAAGTTTGTTTTTTTTTAGCTCAACACCTTCTATGTCCATTTAAGAACCAATTTAAGTGTGAATTATATCGAAAAACGTTTATTAAAGGCATAAAAATGTAAATCGTCAGTTTCCACGGCTCTGAGGCTTTGTAAAAAAAACAAACTTTGGCGGCCATTTTCTCACTAATCTTACCTCTGAAACCAGGCAACCCCACCTCATTCATTCGCAAATATCTCGACATGTACTCAGTGGCTGGGGGTCGTTGGTGCAATTGGTGCAAGCGCTTCACCTAACCCTGGCCTTCACACACCCCCCCTCCCTTTTCTAATTGTTCTAAACCAGTCAGTGCTCTAGATCTACAACTAAATCCTTGCGATCCGTCACCCGCTGGCTGCGTCAGTGAAGAGACAGACGGCGAGGATGGTTTATGCTCGTCGAACCGGTTGCGGTAGTGTCTGCTGGGAGCAAACAAAATCTTTGCACCAAAGTTATTTTTGTCACTGTAGAGAAATCTAGGCATCATCCTTCCCGCACAAGAAGAAAGGTGCATGAAACTGCTCTTCGGAGCACAAATTTGGTGCAAGCTAAAAATTTGATCCAAGTTTCCGCCAGCCTATCTACTACACTGGTAGAGTCTACGGTAACTCAATGAAGAATGGGTACCGAAACTGTTGTCTCCCTCTATTGTGTAGCAAGTCCTGGTGCTGCACAAAGTAATAAGAAATCTTTAAATCTTCTCAGATGGTGAGCATAGTGAGTTGTTTGTATTGTTTCACTTTATAGCAGCTTTTTGCGGTTTCATCTAGAAACAGTTGTAAATATCGATAGATCTAGATTACGGGATATCCTGCAAATTCTATATGACTTTCTCTAGAAATCTAAATAGTAGCTACTAAGCTTATTGCCCTTTTGCTCACTTTCCAATTATGCACCATCTTGTTTGCAACCCACGCGACGCCACTGCATGTACTCAAGATAAATGGGTAATTCTTTCATCAAAAGCAAGGCAAATAAATAGGCTTTAAAGTGATACCAATAACACCGCCTGTCCAAGAATAGGCGAGCGCCTGATTCCACCACATCGTGACACAATTGTACACGTCTTAAATAAAAAAAAAATTCTGTAAAATAAGTCACAAAAAGTCAACTAAAAGGAGATGCCTCCTCAAAAAGCACACCTGGGCTGCCACATAGGGGGCCAACATGGCGCCCACTCGGGCCCAACTGGAGCTAGCTCCTAAGGCAGAGTTCCGTATGACTGTAGGGTAGATCTCAGTCGAGTACATGTAGATGGTGCCAAACCCTCCTGCTGCTCCAAACTTTCCCAACATGGCAAGAGCTACCGTGACCCACTGGTAGTCTGCGGGGGGGATTCAGATCAATACAAATTTTATTAACCACTGGGTTGATTTTCGAAAGATAAATACACTTTGACAAGCACACAAACACACACACACACACTCACTCACTCAAACACACATACACACACATATATATATATATATACAGTGGCGTCCCAAACAAATTTTGAAAAATGTAACCACCCAATCATCCTGTTAAAGCCTTGCACTACCCACTCATGCAGCATACCAATTTAATTGATGAATTTTGCATCATCTTGCAGATTAATCTTTCATCTATGTTAAGAGACGCCCGAGATATAAGGTCACTAAAAACTGACCCTTTAAATATCAGGCTTGGCAAAATCGCCGAAACCAAAGAAACATAAAATTGTCTTCGCGCGTGCATTGAGGAGCATTGATGTTGACAGAAAGGACATTCATTGCATATAATATATAATCCAATGATTGAAGAATTTTGTCTCTGCAATAAAAAATATTTCATTTTGATAGTTTCAATCAAATCAGAAAATCAAGCAACAACTAAGACTAAGATATAGCATTAAAATGTGCTCATAGTTATTTTTCTTAGGAGCCGCTGGTTTTTGTGTGTAGAGCACGAATCTTTTGGGCATTGGCTCTATTAAATTTTGGATATTTCAACCCAAATGTCACGTACAGTTGCGAACAAAAGGTCTGAATTGGGAGCAAAGTCGCTATTACCCAGATGTTATTTTATGGGTCTTCATATACATGTAGGATTCGTATCAGGGATATTTATTGGTGACCACCCCAACGTTGGTATGCTTTGATTTTCCAAGAATTGTCTAATGGCATTGGCACGTTGAGAGAGTGCTTTGTCTTGCATGCAGATGTCTACTTGAATGACACCATGACGAAAATAAAGGTAAGACATGACGTTCCAGAACTGGCGCGATGTAGTCCACTGAACCAAGCCACTCAGTGATTCTCACGAGGGCGGTTTTTGTTCATTTCACCCCAGACCACCCAAAACCATGGCAGTTTCGTGGCCTCTGTTCATCACTGACAGATGATTATGTCCAAAATCTATCACAGTCCAGGTGCAAAAAAGGTTTCGTGCTCTACAAAAAACAAAGAGCTTATTTAGCTTTTAATTGAAATGTTGCTTGAGGGATAGTGCCAGGCTATAATTATTACGATGATCGGGTGATTACATTTTCAAGTTTCTTTTGGGCACCACTATTATATACAAGTATAGGCCTATGTATAATAATAATAATTTTATATATATATATATATATATATATATATATATATATATATATATATATATATATATATATATATATATATATACATATATATATAAATGTATACACACACACACACACACACACACACACACACCACACACACACACACACACACACACACACACACACACACATATATATATATATATATATATATATATATATATATATATATATATAAACACATTGTGTGTGCATTATGGCCATCTCTATTTGGACTCAAGTCCTATTAGATTTTTTATCTATTCGGACTGAGTCCGAATATGGGTTTTATCTATTCGGACTCGGGTCCGAAGAAATCTTTTATTTATTCGGACTCAACTTCTAAAAGAGTTATAGTAAGTGTAATGAGATTACATGGTATAATATAACTGTCGTCGGGGAATTTTACGTAAAACCAGAATTAGAGCTAGAATTACCTACTAGGACTGTGCAATAATGTCACAAGTCAAAAGACTGCGCTCTCACTGCCCAAAGGCGGTGTCTATGTACACGGTAACTGACAACTCGAGATCAGGGTCTGTCCACCACCACTACAGCATCATCATTACTTTCACCACCATTTGTCTTTCCACATGATTAATTTCATTTTGTTGTGTGCTATAGTTTTTCAGTAATTAATTTTTATTAAAATCAATCGCACAAAATTGACACCCGTGGCCTCTTCCCAACACCTCTTTCCAGTCCTATTTTCTCGCAGTACCTTTTGAAGGCATTTTCAAATGAAGTATGGTCCGATAGAACGTTGCCCCAACCGCAACCGAAGTACCGGTATCTGAATATTCAGACAATTAAAAATCTCTAGAATCTAGATCTAGCTCTAGAAATCGAATTCGATGCAAAAAATGCTTCTTCCCAGTCCTCGGAAACCGTTCGGAGAAATAGAGATCAAGTTTTTTTTCCCGAGCGTTCGGAGAAATAGTCACTTCGTATTACATGTGTATATATAAATATGTATTATATACTGTCGAACCTGCCTTAACGAAAACCTGTGTCATCGGATTCTCCTCGCACCCCTTTGATAAAGTCCTTTATAATTACCTCCATAAAACGGAAACCTGTCTAACGTGGAAATGAAAAGAAAATTTCTTTCCCTTCGTGTAGTTTTTATCCAGAAAATGTTTTGCCTAATCAGCCTTGATTTGAAACCACAGAATTCTGTTTGAAACAAAACTCAAGTTTGGTTCCATGAACTCAAACGTTTACTCCATGCCGCCAGGCGAGGAAGGGGAGTAGGGGTGCAAAATGGAGGGGTAAATGTTAACCAATTCAAGTGAGCCCTGAGTGATGCAGATGGCCAGGGTGGTGTAGGTGTGAAATCTCACCAGTACCTGAGAAAGTACTCCAGTGACGCTCCAGCACGGAAACTTTCATTGGTAGCCAGATGCCAGAGGTGTGAAATAAATTTGACCGCTCTGATCGCACGGCTAGCAGAGAAAAAAGTTCCTCCAATCGTTGTTACATGCAAAGGAGGGGCGGTATTGGTTGACTGTGCTTACTACAACGATGGGTGGGGCTAATACGGGGTGCCCATTGGGGGATCGGGTCTGGTCAGGGCGGTTTGCAAGCCAGATTGAGTGCACAAAGCGGCTATCGTGGCACAAGCCGATCGCACCCAACTCGTCGCCTCAAAAACAAAGGCGTTTGTTTTCAGGCGACGAGTGGGGCGATCGCCCCCGACCCGACCCGACCCGACCCAAACCCATCCGCAATGGGCACGCCTTATAAGGCTGGGAGCAAAGGACATGTTCGGTCGTTTCTGTTTTTAATAGATGGCAATGGGGTAACACTGACGCATGACAACAATAGAGAGGCTAGGATAGAAGTGTGAAGTTTTGACCACTGCTTGCCTACCGGACAAGCGACCCTTGTTCTCACCGGCTGCACCTCTGAAATTCCCCTCTCTATATCGCCCCCTAAAGTTCCCTGACAAAGACGGAATTTTTTCTTTCGCCCTTGCGATTCTGTCTGACACAAGTTTATACATGTATATCTATAAATATTGTGACTTGAGCCCACTCCTGAAAAATAGAAACATCTCAATGACTAACAAAATAAAAGTCCCGAACTGCAACGTATGGCCAACCCGTCTATATGGTTGTGAATGCTGGACAATCACTAAAGGTAGAGAAAATGAAATAGAAGCAACAGAAACGTGGTTTCTTGGGAGACTTCTGAGAATATATTGGAAGGAAAAGAAATCGTGATACATGTAGTACTAGACGAAGCTCACGTGGGACACTCACTGATAAGAACAACCAGGAAACGACAAAGTTTTTGGAGCACCTGAAATAGACATAAAGGTCTTGAACATCTAGCTCTCACTGGCAAAATTGGAGGCAAGAGGGGCAAGGGTAGGCCCAGAGCAATCTACTTAGAAAACCTAAGCAGATGGGTAATGGGGAAAGATCAGGGCAAGGTAGCTTCTTTTTTAAGAGCATACGAGCAAAGGAATGAATGGAGAATCATCATTGCGGATGTCTGCCACATATATATGGCACTTGATGATAATGATATACATGTATAAGAAGCAGGGCCTTCTGATTCAGTCTAAAACTTTTTTCCTATAAGAAAAACAAAGAGGTAGAAAAGTCTTGAAAACTCCTTAAAAAAATATAAAGTGAAGTCCTCTGAAACCGAACACGTTGAATTCGAAAACAGCAGTAAACCGAAAAAAAACCCAACACTCTTTTACTTCTCTTTAAAGCAACCTCTCTAAACCGAAAAACAGGTAAAACCAAAGAAAAGCGTGCGGTATCACAGATTTGGGTTTTAACGGACTCCGCAGTAATAAAAAATGCTGTGTAAATGGCACCAACCTGGTCAGTTTGCACTGTGGTCAAGTATGACACTAACTCAATCAAAAACACCCCTGATCTGATATTATAACCCCCC